TGTGAAGCAGTAAATGATGATAATTTCTTCAAGGGTGGATCTCAAAGTTTCTGGAGCTTCGCAAAATTAATCTGAGATAGTATTGTATGCTGGTTTTAAGACCATAATAATAAAACTAACTAACTAATCTGAGATTGTTCACATTCACCTATGAGAGAATGCTGACAGTCACCTTATGAATTCACAAAGTTCAGGGATGAGAAAGAGCAAAACTGGTGCTTGGAACATTTAAATTTGAGAGAAGATGGAGTAGGAAGATGGAGGATCTAGGAACTTCTAGACCAGTGGTACTCACTCTGCAGCTCACTGAGTGCCGTATTCACAATGACCATCAACTAAAAGAGCCATCAACATTTGCGTCCACCCCTGGCATGAGGCCTGCACCTCAGGGAGGCTCACAGCTTACTTGTTCCTCTGGCAGCGACTGTTTTAAGGTGGGAATTACCTGCCACCCAGAAGCCGCATTGGTAAAAAGCCTTATCCACTTTCGTGAAACATGGGGAGGCTGCCATATTGGGGAACAGTGCTCAGAAGAGCTAGAGGTGGCATGTCAAAGAGCCAGATGTGGCTTCTGAGCCATCAAGTGAGTATCCCTGCTCTAGATTAATTTTCTAGCCACTGTGCCAGGCACGCGTTGCAGTTCTAGCTCGTGTACCCTTAAAAGTTTTGAAAGTGGAAATGTGAAAGGGGGAAATAAGAGACGGGGGAAACCACGCTGGCAAACAACTCTTTTTATTTATTTAAAGCATTTTTAGCTGCATCCTCTGCCTACAGCATACCAAGGAGCATACAGTTCAAATATTTAAAATGGCAAAAAATGCTTAACTGCTACATAAACAGAACAAAGCAACAACAGCAGCCAGCAGATTTAAAAAATACCCACTCTATGCAGCAATTTAAAAGCAAAGCCAAATAGCTCCCAGACAACGTTGTCTTTTAAAAAATCTTTTTTTTTTAAGCTGTCGCTGAAAGGCCAGTAATGAAGAAGATTCATGGGGAACTTGGTCTTGGGAAGTTATAAATGAGTGAAATATTCATTTAGATTCTTACTTCATGCAGCCAGTAGTAAACCTCTATTTAAGGTTTCCAGGTTCCTATGAATAATGCTTACCTTAAACCATGAAACCCAAGGAGTAAGGACCAAGCTAGAGATGTGAGGTGGGAAATCTGTGACTGGAAAATCTCCCTCCTTTTGCCTTTAGTTCAAATGAGCCACTAGGGTGAGACACGGTGGTGGTAAATTCAGATCACAGCATTAGAGCTGCCAACCTCCAGGTGGGCCCTGGAGTTCTGGAATTACAACTGATCTTGAGCTCCAGTCCACAGGGATCGGTTCCCCTGGAGGAAATGGTGCTTTAGATGATAGACTCTACGGCATCAAAGCTCCACTGAGCTCCCGCTTCTCCCCAAATCCTGCCCCTCCCCAGGCACTGCCCCCAAATCTCCAGGAATTTCCCAAGCTGGAGTTGACAGCCTTCATAGATTACTTAGACATGAGAGATTCAATCCTTTCCATGTGTTGTTTTCCTGGTATAAATGTCCCCCTTCCAGCTGGTGTTTACCTTGTACCAAAAAAACTGTACCTTGTATGTATTTTCCCATGGAGCACATAGCAGCTTTGGGAGAACAGGGGCAGTTAAGGTTGGGAAAATGGAGTGAGGAAAGGGTGTAAAACACCTTCCCAAGTACCATTTCCATGATCTGACACCCCATTTTGAACTAACAACCAAACAGTGCAATCCTAAACAGAGTTATATACCCTTCTAAGACACTGATTTCAGAGGATTTGGAAGGGCGTGACCCTGTTTAGGATTGCACTGAAGATCTACGTCACAAATTCCCCACCTCATTTCTCATTGGGTCACAATTCATCCAATGAGTGTTTTGCTCCCCCCCCAGTATATATTGATCCCCCCATTTCCCATCAAACTGGGTTGAATTTGCACATGTAAGCAAGGTCTTGCACATGGCTAAATACACATCCAGGTCACCCCTAAGAGCAGTACATTTCTCACCCCACCCCCCAGCAAATAACTCCATGATAACGCTGAAATACACATCCAGGTCATCCCCAAGAGCAGTACATTTCTCACTCCCCCTCCCCCCCAGCAAATAACTCCATGATAACGCTGAAAGCTGACAATGATCCTGCCAGGTCACTTATTTCATGGGAGGTTCCATCTTCTGTTGTCATTAGCATTATGCAACGGGAGATGCTTGACGCAGCTGAATGAGCTCCAGGGTCTTTCTGCACTAAGTCACAAAACTTGCAAAGTATAACTACGCATTTAGAGAACAGTCTTTGCAAAGAGATTCAGTAATAACCCTTACCAGTTAGGTTAGGCCTTTTGGAGTGTGTTTGGAGCAGTTCCAGTAGTTTCCTCCGTATTCCCAACAGCAACAACCCCATCAAAATGATCATAAAGAGCACTTTCAGAGTTCAAAACATTCCGTAGACATTATCTTGTTTACAAGCCTTGCACTGGCCTTGTAAGGCTGGACGATATTATGAAATATTATTACAGTACCCCATTGCTGATAGGGCACTAAGGGAGAATGACTTATTTCAGGCTAGTGGGTAAGATCGCAGCAGAGAGGAGATTTGAAATAGGGACCATTTAGATTATAGCATCTCCTTTAGGCCACTATGTCCTACTAGCTGCCTGGAAGGAAAGCTAACATTCATTCCCCCATTTTGCACAAGGGGGGAGCCTATGGATGGACCGGAGATCGAGTGAATTGCCTAAGTCCACCTGGGGGAGTTTGGCAGAGGTGAACTTGAGCTCTCCAGCATTCGTGCATTTCTGTTGGAAATGAAACCGTTAACTTAAAAAAAAAATATTCGGCGCAATATTAGCTTTCTAAATGCATTTGGGGAATATTAATTAATCTTGAGTCTCATCAGCAGCGACACCAACAGAATACCAATTCAGAATGCCAGTTATGATTCATAGCACCTGGATGCTGTAGGGGGGAAGGCGAGGAGGCTCTCCTCCCCGGGAATGAGCGTGAGGAGTAACAATGTGAATGTTTCCCATTAGGAGAATCATCTGGTCTTTTATCCAAGATTGATTTAAGACAGAAGCTTTCATTAGTGTATTTGTACTTTGATTGAGAGAAAACAACTCAGTTCTGAAGCTAAGCTCAGGATCGCCTGAAAGTCTGGGACTGAAGACAGACGAGAGGTTCCATGTCCTTCTTAGGGCAGAGGCATCATTGTCTGCAGTGTGCACGCTTATTTCAGTGTCATCTCTGCTTAGATTTTGTAATGCTGGCAAAAGGTGTTTTGAACAAAAATGACCAAGTGCACGAAGAAATGAACAGGTACGCCATGGGAAATGATGCCTATATCAACTCCCTTGATTTTTATTTTTTTTTGCACACAGCTTCATATTTTATACTGTCTACAGCTATGCTGCTGGCACCAAAAGTGCAGTGAGAACAATATTCTTACGAGCGCATACATCTTTCAGCACTGGTGTACACACGTCTGGAAGACTAAAGAAGGTGAAGACAAATGCCAGCAGCACAGGGGGAATGTGAAAATGTATTGGTGGGGTACTAAAAAGCCTCTGTGCATTTCGCTGCATTGTAGATGAACACATTGGGAGATTCCCTGAACAAAGCACTGGTGAAATGTGTAGGGGCTTTTTTAGTATTTCATCAATACATTTTCACTTTCCCACTGTACTGCCAGCATTTGTCTTTGCCTTCTTTCATCCAGGTGACTGGTTGCCTTGCAACCCTTTTGTTATGCTGCACACATGTCTGGGCCAATTGGATTCCCCAGAAGCGTTCATACGGTTTGTAAAGGTACATGCACATCATTGTCTTGCCAACACTTGGCAAGTCTTCTTTTTATAGGAAACACAAGGGTTACACGAAGGGTGTAAGGAAAAAAAGTTGGGAGTTGTTTTAATTTTTTTTTAAAAAAAACTTTGATTTGGATTCTTCTAATATTACAAGTTATATTATGAATCATTGCCCCCCTCTCCAATTGGGATGCAATTCTCAGAGTTTACACTGCTTGCTGAAGGGATCCTCCCTTGTAGATCTGACAGGGACAGAAGAACAGACCTGTTTTATAGACTTTTAACCCGCTCCGATTAGCCAGGGAGGAACAAATTCATGTTTCAGAGGACAGCCATTTTAGTCTGCAGTAGAAGAGCTTAGATTTGAGTCCAGTAGCACCTTCGAGAACAACAAGAGTTTCAGGGGTATAAGCTTTTGAAGAAGAAGGAGGAGGAGGAGGAGATTGGGTTCACTACCTGAAGGAGTCTCAGAGTGGCTTACAATCCCTTTCCCTTCCCTTCCCCCCAACAGACACCCTGTGAGGTAGGTGGGATTGAGAGAGCTCTTTCAAGGACTGCCCTTGAGAGAACAGCTTTGGGAGAACTTGTGACTGCTCCAAGGTCACACCAGCAGCTGCATGTGGAGAAGTGGGGAATCAAACCCAGTTCTCCCAGATTAGGGTCCGCGCTCTTAACCACTACACCAAACTGGCTGTCCCTTCCCTTGTCAGATGCAGGGGGCTTTGAGTCTCGAAAGCTCGTACCCTGAAACTCTTGTTGGTCTCTGAGGTGCTATGGACTCTAATCTAAAAAAACTGACATGTGAGTGAGTTTTCCTCTCTTTTCCTGGGAACCTCATGTAGGCCTCTTCCCATGCCTTACTGTGTTCATCTTTATTTCTTTCAGCACTTTTCTCCCAGCACAGCTAACTTTCTGTATCCGATCCTGCATGTCTGAAAACGAAAAGATTTTGGTTAAATTGCCATTTTTTTTGGTTGACGCTTCTGGACCTCTCCATGCCTGGCAGTTTTCCTTCTCCACAGTGATCTCTCTCTTTTTCTCTTTCTAAACCCTATCCTACCACCATCTCTTTATTAGATTGTTTCTCTTCACAAGCTGACTCTTTCTCAGGAAAAGGACATGAAGAGTTCCCTTGTCCTCATAGCGCTGCTCTCGTTAGTAGTGGCAAAGCTATGCCATGCTTACTGCCTTGGGTCTCAGGAGCAACAGATGCCCAGTGGACTCCAAACAAAGGTGAGGATGCCAAGGCTGGCATGGCAGAGAGTGGGTGGCAGATTGTGGGTGTGTGGATGAACTTTGGTGCTGGGTGAGAGTCTGCTTTACTTTTGCACACCATGTTGTTCAAATATGGATTTTAGGTACTTGAATCCCAGGAGATAAATCAGGCTTTTTCTTTACTTCAGTGAATATGATTTAACAAGAAGAATTCTATTATCCCAAATCAAGACTGATGAGCAAAAGCCAGTTTAAAAAACACAATGTTTTTGAACCACTTTTCCATTTTAAATTTCCAACAGGATAAAAAGAAAAGAGAAAGAGTTCTTTATTCTAATGAATCTCTGTGCTCAGAGGTTCCTTTTGAATGCTATTTTCCTTTCACTTTTCTGCAAATGGGGCCTCTTGATTTTGGAATATTGTGCAAAATTGCATTATTTCCCCCTTGACTTTCTGTAGCATACCATGAGTCTAAATTGATCAAAACCTTACTGAATGTTGCTAGCCCTCACTGTTTTAGAATATTAGAAAATGTGGCCATGGATTGTCAGTGGTCTGAAGACTTAAAAAACTGGGACATCACCCGTATATTTTATTTATCAGCATTTTAGTGCGAAAGCATGTGAGCATCAAACATTTGAACCGTATGGAGCACTTGGTGGCTGGGTCTCTTTAGTCTCTTTTCAGTCTCTTTTCCTGCCATTTTAGTCTCTTTTCTCTCTTTTTTGGGGGTGGTCTACCAGTCGTCCTAGCTCTGAATATGTGAGTCCCCAAGCCCTGAAGGGCTTTAAAGGTCCTTACCAGCACCTTGCATTGTACTCGGGAACAAACTGGCAGCCAATGAAACTGTTTCAAAATGGGCAGATGTTCCCGTTGTCTAGCTCCGGGCAGCAATTGGGCGTTTGCATTCTGAACCAGCTACAGTTTCCAAGTTCCTTTCAAGAGTAGCTGAACATTAGGCAAGGTTGGCAACAGCCGTGAGAAAAATATCCTGTCCCTTTAATAGTGGCTTCTTGTGTGGAAATGGGCAGGTGGAAGGTATCCATGGCATGCAAGTCAATAAACATCACCTGATAAGTGACATCCCATGAAGCCTCTTTTAAAGGGACAGGGCATTTTCCCCCCTCCAGGTTGTCGGCAGCCCTATCTAATGTTGCACACCTCACACTGTTGCAACTGTGAGGATACAAAAGCTTGGATCAGCATGTCCAGTTCGGCTGAGTGTAAGAAAGGAGAGAATTTGGGAACCAGGTGCAGCTGGCAGAACTGCAGCATGTTTTTTTTTGTGATGAAAATCTTTTGTTGCTTTCAGCCATCACAACAATATGTGCTCTTGTGTTCATCTTCTTTGTTGTAAAAAAATTAAGATTTCTAAGAGCTCCTGGTTTTGTGGATGCGTCGATGTTTGGCCACCTTACACTCAAAAGGTTTTCGTTTGGCCACTGAAGCATTTCTTTATAAATTTGCATCTGCTGTTCTTATAGTTTATAGAATGTGGACTAATAGGAGGATCCAGTCAATGAAAGGTCACTGCAGAAGTTATTTGCTGTGTCCCTTCCAGACAGTCTCCCCAGTTTGAGTATTCCTTACCTATAAAATGCATTTATTTGTGGTATCTGCATATCACATTCGTAAACTAAGGAATCCAGAGAGCCGCATACTTGGTGTTTTCCCCTGATTTTATTCACACAATGGTTCTGTGAGATAGGCCCAAGGTAGGGTTGCCAACTGTGACTTACCTTGCCGGCGGGGGACTCCTGAGGGATCCTGGTGTGTGTGCGCATGCACCGCATTCACATCATAGGGCAATGATGTCATGACGCCGGGCACGCTGGGGGTGGGGCCATGACCATACAAGGGAATGGGCCTCTGGGGCGGGGGGGTTTCCGCCCCCTGGTGGAATTTGGCAGCCCTAGCCCAAGGTTACCCAGTATGCTTCACAGCTGAATGGGGGTTCAGATACAGTCTCCTAGAGTTACCAGCCTCAAGGTGGGACCTGGCGTTCTCCCTGAATGACAACTGGTTTCTTGACTGCAGCAATCAGTTCCCCAGAGGGAACGCAACTTCGGAGCGTGGGGGTATTTGACATCACATCCCCTCTGAGTGCCTTTGCCTCCTGAAACTCCACCCCCCCCAGGCATTGCCACAGGGCTGATTCCTGCTTTTTCCATTGGCCCTGGGCAAAGAGTGCCTTGGCCCCCCCTCCCCTCCTCTCCTCTGTTGGCCACCATGCCCTCCATTCCCACTTCCCTCTATAGGGGTGCCAGCCTCTGGGAGGTGGCTGGAGATCTCCTGGGATCATAACTGTTCTACAGGCAGCAGAGATCAATGCCCCTGGAGAAAATGGCCACTTTGGTGGGTGGACTCCTTCCAAAGCATTGTGCTCCATGGAAATCCCTCCCCTCCCCAAACCCCACCCTTCCCAGGCCCCACACCCAAATCTCCAGGTATTTCCCAACATGGACCTGGCATCCCTACCTGCACAGTAGTGGCTTCTACTGGCTTTCCTGAACTAGTTGCTTCCTACATTACAGGGTCATGAATGTGCAAAGGGAGCCAATCAGAACAGCTGTTTGTCATGATGCAGGACAAGACTCACATGGTTGTCTAGGGAACTATATTCCTGGACAAAGCAAACAAACAAAAAAACCCCACTACTAGTCCCATGAAGCAGCGTGAGTGCATTTCAAACACATAATAAAATTATTTGTTTAAGCACACACACCCCTCACTCTGGGGTGCTGCATAAAAGTAGAAATATAAAAGAAAATCCCTTCCTTAATCCGCACGGTCACGTTACAACTCCGCTGTAGCTGGAAAGAACAGAGATCTTTAATGTATATTCAGCTCCTTCCTTCTTTCCTTCCTCCCTCCACAATAAAAACATCCTATTTGTCAGATGATATTGTTATTGCTCCATACGTGCTTGAGCCTTGATTCTACCAGTTAAAAACAACAACACCAAACCCCCCCCACATTCCCCCATTTCTGTCTTTTGTAGAGTTCCTCTTGATTGTTTTCCGTATTCCCTGTTCTTTACAACATCTTTAATACACAGTTTAATGCCGTGTATGAATTTATTTGACAATATTCTGTGTACCACAAATTGCATCAGTTTCATATGTATATAATTTGAGGGAAGAAAGTAGGGAGAGGCAAACTTTGATGCACGAGAGACACACTGTGAATACAAAGAACGTCTTGAATCTTTGATCGGCATCGGCACTTTGAAATCAGAGCAGGAAATCCAAGCGAACAGCTCTTTTTTGTAGAACAGGATTATCATGTATAAAGGGGGATCCTAGCGCAACAGTCCATGTGGTTCTTTGTTTATTTAAAATAGGGGGCACCATGGTGCCCACCAGTACCTTTCCTGGTCCCCACCAAGTGTCCTTAGAAAGTGGGTGAGGCCAAGTGGGGCTTTTGCCCAGTGGAGATCTGCTTGGCTGTGCAAATTAAAATAACATCTCAGTGACCGCTGCCACTACAGCTGCCAGTTTTGTGTAGTGGTCAGGATCGCAGACTCTAATCTGGGAGCACCGGGTTTGATTCCCCACTCTTTCACATGCAGCTGCTGGTGTGACCTTGGGGAAGTCACAAGTTCTCTCAGAGCTGTTCTCTCAGGAGCAGTCCTTCAAAGAGCTCTCTCAGCCCCACCTACCTCACGGGGTGTCTGATGTGAGGAGGGGGAAGGGAAAGGAGATTGTAAGCCACTGAGACTCCTATGGGTAGTGAAGGGCGGGGTATAAATCCAATCTCCTCCTCCTCTTCCTGTTTTATTCTCTCTTTGACTCCCCTTTCCTCATGTATTTTTAAATTTCACTCCTCTTGTCCCCTGCACTTGAGTTTTCTCTCTCTCTGTAGTTGATTCCACCTCCCGCAGTGGCCATTTTGTGGCCTGCCTCCCACCCTGGCCATTTTGTGGTTGTACTCACCACTGTGCGTCAGAATCCCAAAGTGGCCCACAGGCTGAAAAATACCGGGGACTCCTGATTTAAAACACCTGTGATCCCACCTTTCTCCCAGAAAACTGGGACCCGGGGCATGTAATAAAGCCGATACATTTCTAAAAACATCAAAGATAGCCATTAAAGTTACTGGCAATAGCAAATAATGTGGTGGTTAGAATGTCAGCACAGGTTCTAGGGGGACATGAGTTCCAATCTTCACTTTGTGGGAAGTTTGCCTGGTGACCTTGGGCCAGCCTCAGCCTCATCCACCTCACAGGGTTGTTGTGAGGATAAAAGGGGGAAATGGATATCGTGTGTGCAGCCCTGAGAACCTTGGGGCAAGGATGAGTTAATAATGCATTAGACAAGATCCCCTAAAATAATCCCACACAGTTTAGGAGCAGTGTTCCCTCTAAGATGAGTTAGTGTGAGCTAGCTCACAGTGTTTTAGCCTCTGGCTCACACATTTTTGTCTCAGCTCAGGAAGGAGGGCTCCAGAGCAAACTAATTTATGCAGCAGCCAAATCTCTTGCTCACAACTTTAATTCCAGTAGCTCACAAAGCAGAATTTTTGCTCACAAGACTCCACGGTTTAGAGGGAGCATTGTTTAGGAGGCTTCCCATGGCCCAGGTGAGAGTCGGGGGGGGGGGGAGATACGGGGGCAAGAAACAAACTTGAGACTAGGCAATAGAAGGGGGGGGGAAGTAGCACATGATGTGGGGATCGGTGAAGCGAGAAGGAAGATGCAGACTATGCTTCGCCCCTGCCCTATTTTTGTGAAGCATAATCCTCACTGTAAACAACTGCATGCACATGGATTGATGGGAGAAGGGGTGCAGGTCAATGTTCCCTCTAAGCTGTGGAGTCTTGTGAGCAAAAATTCTACTTTGTGAGCTACTGGCATTAAAGTTGTGAGCGAGGCAATTTGGCTACTTGCATAAATTTCGTTAGCTCTGGAGCCATCCTTCCTGAGCTAAGACAAAAAGGTGTGAGCTGGAGACTACAAAACCGTGAGCTAGCTCACACTAGCTCAGCTTAGAGGGAACATTTCGATTCCAGAAGTCTGG